CACCCATATGGGATGCTGGCACTGTAGGCAGTGGCTTTACCCACCATACCATAACACCAGACTCTGCTTAAGAATTTATTTGCGGGGCTGGCACTGTGGCATAGAAGGTTAAATTGCTGCCTGTAGCGCTAGCGTCCCTTATGAGTCCTAGCTGGTTTGCTCTAATCCACCTCCCTGCTAATGCACCTGGGAAAGCAGTGGGGGATGACCCAGTTACTTGGGCCCCTGTTATCCATGTGGGAGACCAGGAAGAAGCTCCTGGCTCCTAGCTTTGGTCTGGCCCAGCCCTGGCCATTGTGGCCATTTGGGGAGTGAACCAGTGGATGGAAGATCTGTCTCTATTTGGGGGGGAAAAAAAAAGGAGCAGGGGCTGGCACTGTGCTTTAGCAGGTAATGATGCTGGTATCCCTGATGAGCGCCAGTTTCAGTCTTGGCTGCTCCACTTCCGATCCAGCTCCCTGCTAATGTGCCTGGGAAAGCAGCAGAGGATGTCCTAAGTCCTTGGGCCCCTGTACCCACGTGGGAGACCCAGAAGAAGCTCCTGGCATCATCCTGGCCCAGTCTTGACCGTTGCGGCCATTTGGGGACTGAACTAGTGGATGGAAGACCTTTCTCTGTGTTTATCCCTCACTGTAATTCTGCTTTTCAAAATCTTAAAATTTTTATTTGCTTTTGTAGTTTGGGCCACAAGTAATACATAGGTGGGGAATTTCATCTGCACACGCAGATCCCATTCAGTAGTAGGAAGAAGCTGCCTAAGGCCTTGCTTTTCTGTCATTGGTCAGGGTATACCTAGGAACAACCAGGATTGGATAAGCTGTGTTGTGGCAACAACCCCCAAATCCCAACGTCTTAAGGCAACAAAATGTTGTTTCTCTGTCATACCATGTTGATATAGGTTCTTTAGCCACTGCTCAGTCATACTATTTGAAGCTGGTTTTTTGAGTAGAGAGGGGCTTTATTGTTATTCATGAATAAAGAAGCAGGTGAAATATGTCTGAAATCTGCTTCCTTCTCTAGGGAATAGGCAAAGCTTTATAGATTTATTTATTTATTTGAAGGGCGAGTTAGAGAGGCAGAGAGAAGGAGAGATCTTCCATCTGCTGGTTGACTTCCCAAATGGCTGCAACAGCAGGAGCTGGGCTGATCTGAAGCAAGGAGGCTGGAGACTCTTCCAGGTCTTCCCCATGGGTACAGGGGCTCAAGGACCTGGGCCAGTCTCTACTGCTTTCCCAGGCCATGGCAGAGAGCTGGATTGGAAATGGAGCAGCCGGGACTTGAACCAACGCCCACATGGGATGCTGGCATTGCAGGTGACAGCCACAGTGCCAGCCCCAAAGCTTTAAATACTACGTGGGAGAAAGCCAAGATAAGCAGAAATGCCGGTAAGGCAAATCTTAATTGGGAAGGGTTGGGATCTTCCCTTCTCTGCACATGCCCAGGGCATGCAACTATAGCTCCCTGCTATGGATTCCCTCTGTGCATATGTGACTATGTCTTGATAAAAAGCAGGGACTTAAGTATCTGATCAGATCCATTGTTACAACATAAAATGGAGAAACTTTCAGAAAAAGAATGGGGAGCATAACGTTTTTACGTTTGGAGTGTCAGGTGGAGATCTGGTATAAGGGCAGTCTTATGTCAACAGGCTTGTCATGGCTTGGCAAGGTTTTCAACTCATTGTAGTCATTCATGGACCCATGGGTGCTGATGTATCACATTTATTTTTGGTTTCTGTACCAGAGGGGAAAAGGGCTTTGGGAGATCTTGTACTGACTGGTAGGTAAATGCTCTGGTCTGGAGGTAACACATCACTTCGTAGAACTGGTTAAAGCTGATTTAACATGGTCACAAGACTCTACCCAACCATGGGGTATCCTAAGTGGAATCTTTTCTTGTGCTCACCATGAGGAGAGCTGACAATAGCTAGATGCAAACACAAACAACTTTCACAACACTAGTTTAGGTCATTACTGTTGGATTGCCAGATTAGCTCTCCTGATTTAGTTTCCTTCCTATTTATTCTTCATACAGCACATATGATTTTTCTGATCTGATTGTGTCATTCTCTGTTCATGCTGATCTTCACTTTTCAGATAAAGCCATCTTTAATTGCAGTGTTTATGTCCTACCTGATCTGGCCTTTACTTATCTCTTGGGCCTTGTATCTCGTTGTTCAGTCCTGTGTGATACTCATGTGTACCTCCCCTACTGTGTCTTTTGCTTCTTGGCATTTGCTCATATTATTTCCTCTTCTTGGAACATTCTTTCTTCTGGGTAACTCTTACTCATTTCTTTTAGATTTCTTTTTAAATGTCCCTTTGTTCTTATTCACCAATTTGAGTTATCATAGCTCTCAGCTTTTTAAAAAATATTATTTGAAAAGCAGAGAGAGAGAGAGATTGATGGAAGGATGGGTGGATGGATGGATCTTCAAGCCTCTGTTCAGTGCCCCAAAGCCCACAAAGCCGGGGCTGACCAGGCGGAAGCTAGGGGCCTGAAATTCCATTCAGGTCTCCCACATGCGTGGCAAGACAAGTACTTGGGCCATCATTTGTTGCTTCCCAGGCTCATTGGCAGGAAGCTATGTCAGAAGGGGAGATGGGACTCAATCACAGGTGTCCCAAGTACCAGGTTAACACTGCACCATAGCACCCACCCCAGCTCTCAGTCTGAGAAACTCTTATGGTACGATTGTAATAGCATGGTAACTTGTTTGCCATTGTATCCTCAGTGTCTGACTTGATCTCTGACTCAGTATATTTAAAAATTTGTTGTAATGCTACTAAAAAATACATGGTAGGGTGGAAAAAAATTGGTAAGTATGTATTATCAGAAAAATCTAGTTATTAAAAGACTGTGTGCTTCCTATCCATGGTAAGCAGCGTTCATGAAGTTTGTTTACTCCCTAAATGACTGCAACAGTCAAGGCTGGGCCAAGCTGAAGCCAGGAGCCTGAAACTCCATCTGGGTCTCCCAGGTGGATGGCAGGGCCCCAAGCACTGGGGCCATCTGCTGCTGCTTTCCCAGGTGCATAAGCAGGGAGCTGGATTGGAAGTGGAGCATCTGAGATTCTAACCCACACTCATATGGGATGCCAGCATCACAGGTAGCAACTTAACCTGCTGTGCCACAATGCTGGCCCTGAAAATGTAGTTTTAACATTGTTCAGAATAGTTCCTGGTAACCAAAGTTTTTTGTATACCTGAATTTTATAGGTGTTTTGAAAGTTGGTTAGTTTATTTGCTTAATTCTAATGTTGAAGAAACATAAAAAATACTTTGTCGAAAAGTGATTTCATACTGCCAAATACTGCAAGGGTATGTATTGCACATTATATCAATAATTAAGATTAAAAAAAAAAAAAGGAGTCCTTTACAACCCCAGTACTCTTTACTCCACAGTCTTGTTAACAATATTAGCTATAATAATTTTTCCATATTTTTTCAGACCTATGTGTGTAATTGTCTTAAATTTATATTCTGAACTTATCTGCTTAGTTTACCAAATATTTTTCTATGGTACCATAATTTTCAGTGGCTCAAAAAAATGTTATTTACAGTGAGGGAAGCATGTATGCACATTACATTCACTGGTTCATGCTCCAAATGCCTACAATGGCTGGATTGACCTGGGACTGAAGCCAGGAGCCAGCAGTTCTGAGTTTCCCATAAGGAGGACAAGAACACAACTACTTGATCTATCATCACTGTCTCCTAGGGTGCTTATTAGCAGGAAGCTGGATTCAGAAATGGGAGCTGGATTTCAAATTCAGGTACAACAACACACAACATGAGTGTCTTGACAGCTTCCTCACTAATCTAGATATCTACTCCGTCAGCTTTTTAATCATCCATCAAGTCAGTGTGTCTGTTTATTTTAAGGCTCAGTTACTTCTAATTTTTTGTTTTTAGTAATGTTTTAGTTTCATGATTAAACATCTTCGCACCCTGATTTTTTTTTTTTTTTTTTGCTTTTGAACTATTTCTCAGGGTACATTCCCAGAAATGGCATCTCTGGCCTAAGAGTGTAACCATTAAGTGTATGCTGTGGTTTGTTTATGGATAGCAAAAGGGTATTACAGCCATAAAACATACTTATCCAGCCCTTAGAATTCCAAAGACCTTAAACTGCCATATTTATTAACTGGTGTTGAGTGGTTTTGTCCTTTGACTATTTTGTAGTCTTTTTTTCATTGAGTGTCTTAGCCTTTGAGGGTGTGAATGAGAGGTGAAGTAAAAGAAGAAACTCAAGAAATAGGGTGTAAGTTTTAGTTTGAAAGTAGGCTGAGCCTTTCCCCGACCATGTATTTCTTAATAAACAGCAAGTCAATTTTGTGAGATTTTTATGCTGATATACTTGTGGCCATCCTGAGTATTTTAAGACTTTTACATAAAACTGAAGGCATTAAGAACAACAACAACAACAAAAACCCATACACATGTATACACATGTATATATAATAAGTATATATATAAATTAGAAAATACTGCTTTTTAAAATTTTATTTTTATTTGACAGAGTTAGAGAAAAAGGTCTTCCTTCTGTTGGTTCACTCCTCAAATGGCTGCTACGGCTGGAGCTATGCCGATCTGAAGCCAGGAGCCAGGTGCTTCTTCCTGGTCTCCCATGTGGGTGCAGGGGCCCAAGCACTTGGGCCATCCTCCACTGCCTTCCCAGGCCACAGCAGAGAGCTGGACTGAAGAGGAGCAACTGGGACTAGAACCCGGTGCCCATATGGGATGCTGGTGCCGCAGGCAGAGGATTAACTAAGTGAGCCATGGCGCCGGCCTGAAAATAATGCTTTTTAATAGATAGGGACTTTGGGAGCTTGGCTTATCATTTTTGTTACCAAAACATTATTTTTTAATCTATGAGTTTTTTAAGGAATAAACTTTAATGTTATTAACCTTGCTTATGTTTTACAGTTTACCTTTTGCTAATCATTATTAAATCCTAGGACTCTTGTATTCAGTTTTTGAAGTGTTCCATTAAATAGGTTGGTTTTTGAAGTTTTACTGTTTAATGAAAAGAATACACATACAACAGGAAGTGCACATTTCACTTGTTTTTCCCTTCTACTAGAAATCTTTTAACCATTGAGAGAATAAGTTCTCTAATAACATACATTTTCTTTTTGTCTGAAGAGGCCCAAGGCTTCTTTCAAAGATTTTGTTCCTCTTTGGTAGAGTGTTAGACCACTTCAGTTTCCCGTTTTCTGATGTTGTTCATCATACTTCTTAGAGGGTTAGGTTCGTTTTTGAACTCTTTCACAGTTTTGTTTTTTACACAGCAGCAACAGTCGAGTACTTCATAAAGAAAGGCCAGCACCACTAAAGATACCACTGTAAATATGAATAAAAGCAGGATAACAAAGCAGGCAGTGTTCCAGTTATCATGGAAAGGGTAAATTTTTTGAACTTGAAAACCAAGATACTGATAAACAGAGGTGGTTTCGTTCCAGTGGTTGGATGCCATTTTTAGAGATTCCACTTCTTGGTTGCTCTTTTAAATCTGTAAAAAGGGTAGAAAATGAATGTCACTAAATAACAACAAGAGTTGTTCATTCAGTCTCAGTGCTAGTATTTCTTAGTTTATGAAACAACATGACTCTTCTGTATGGTCTAACAGCATTGTGCCTGAATGATATTTTTGAATTTTTTGTGCCTGTGCCAACCATGTGCTTTTAAAAAAAATGTATATTATTTGTTAGATAAATGTGTTTAAGATTTATGTATAGAAATTAACTATATGGAAGGGGAAAAATGGCAACTGAATTGGTTTAAAGCCTGACCAAAGCAGTGGCCAGTGCTACAAAAAATCTATTGTTCAAATTGCTCCTGGAAAAGTTTTTGTCATTACCCTGTGGTGTCTCATCTTCTTGATTTAGTGTATTTCTGGCTCCTATTTTCACTCCTTTAAACTTCGATTACAGGTTGTCTGATTCAGGAAATAGTGGCCAAGTGTAAAATAGTAGAAAAAGAAAAACCAAGTGACGCAATTTTTCGGAATAAGAAGTGGATTTTTTTTGTGTGTGTGTGGAACAACTAAGTTTATATATATTTTAAAAGAGAGCATTCCACAATTCATTTCCTGAGATGATTATAACTTATAACAGTCATACACACATATAATTTCCCTTTCTAATACATGTGTATAACACTACTCACTTGAATATAGAAGCAAACATACTATAAACATATATTCACTAACAAAATCCAGCCATGTATTAAATAATTGGAGAGGCCAAAGGAAGCTCTAGTAAATACCTATTCTCTTCTTTCCCTAGGTTTTGAAATATCTGAGATATAAAAGAAAGATTATAGATGGAGAACATATCACTTTTAGACACCTGGGGGAGACTTTGGTTTCTTAAGTGACGCACACTGTAGGGGAGATAGGCTTACTCAAGCAGTCTTGGCAGCTGTGACTCGTCCTGCCTCTGGAGTGAAGGGGAACATGGGCTTCAGCATCCTGGCTGCTCCCATGAGCTTAAAGGCTGAGCAGAGCTCACCAGATTGTTCTTCCAAATCCACCAGTCAGATATGTGGTTCTGCCTTCCTGGTTAAAGTTATCTGTGAAGACTTTAGTCTTGAGGTTGTTTGTTATGCAGATGATAGCTTAAGTGTTTCATATGCCTAAATATCCATGGAGGCTAATTATTTTTTTTAAATTCAGCCCTCCTAAAGATAATAGTAATTAAATTATTCCATTTAGCAAAAAAGCCGAGTGATTTAATTGTCAGTTTTTTTTTTTTTTTTTTTTTTTTTTGTAAAATTTTTTATTTGAAAGGCAGGGTAACAGATACCTTCCATTCTCTGGTTTGCTCCCACAATGGCCAAGGGTGGGCCATGCTGAAGGTAGGAGCCTAGAACTCCATCTGGGTGTGTCATGTGGGTGGCAGGGGCCCAGGCACTTCTGCTACATTCCCAGGAACATTAGCAGGGAAGTGGAGTAACTAGAACTTGAAATGGGACTCGGATAGGGATGCTGGCATTGCAAGTGTTGGCTTAACCCACTGGATGACAGTGCTGGCACCAGTTTTTAAAAATCATTTACTTATATGTTTAAAAATTTTGGAAATAAGAGAAAAATAGTTTACTTCCTCAATTCATTTTTATATTGTATGGTTTTTCTCCTACATGGTTATAGACAAGCTTTTATTCATACTTATAACATGTATTTACCTACTATATATCAAATGCTTTCCTAAATTCTTGATGTAAGTTTGTAAGTATATTTCACTTAAAGAAAAGTTAAAGTTAGTAACAGGGGTTTTCAGAAAATTCATCTAAAAGTATGTACTATGAAAAAACCATGCATCTCAAATTTTTGACACTGTAATAAACCTATTTTTTCTTTTTAAAAAGTTTCACTTTATTTGAAATCGATCAGTCTTCTATTCACTAATTTACTAATTTAAATGCCTGCAATAGCTAGGGCTTGGCTGGGCTGAAGCCAGGAAATCCGAACTCCATCTGGGTCTCCTGTGTCAGTGGCAGAAACTCAGACACCTGAACCATGTCTGCTGCTTTTCAGTCTGTGCATTAGCAGGAAGCTGGATTGGAAATGGAGTACCTGGGACTCAGACTGGGTACCCCAGTAAGGGATATGGAAATTCCAAGTGGCAATTTAAGTTGTTACCCTGGCTGTTGTGGGCATCTGGGAGTAAATCGGCAGATGGGAGACTGCTGTCTGTCTCTCCCTCTTTGTCTCTGCTTTTCAAATAAGACAAATTTTTGTGGCCAGCACTGTGACATGGTGGGTAAGGTGCCAGCATCCCATATGGGCGCCAGATTGAGTTCTGATCCAGTTCCCGGCTAATGTGTCTGGGAAAGCGGCAGAAGATGGCCCTAGTGCTTGGATCTTTGCACCCACATAGGAGATACAGATGAAGTTCCTGGCTTTGGCCTGGCCTAGCTGTGGCCATTTGGGGAATGAACCAGTGGATGGAAGATACTTTTTGTCTCCCTTTCTCTTTCTCTCTCCCTCCCTCCCTTTCTTTGTCTAACTCCACCTTTCAAAATTTTAAGAAATTTTTTTAAAGATTTAAGAGTGAGAATTGTTTGAGGATCTAAGAATTTTGCCTGGGTTAAAGTGGGAACTTCCTGACATTTATAGAAATATTCCTTAGATTTTCTGTTCAGACCTCTCAGATCCCTTTTAAGAATTGAAAGGCAGGGCCAGCGCCGTGGCTCACTTGGTTAATCCTCCGCCTGTGGCACCGGCATCCCATTTGGATGCCAGGTTCTAGTCCTGGTTGCTCCTCTCTGCTGTGGCCCCGGAGGGCAGTGGAGGATGGCCCAGGTGCTTGGGCCCCTGCACCCGTGCTGGAGGCCAGGAGGAAATGCCTGGCTCCTGGCTTTGGATTGGTGCAGCGCCGGCTGTGGCGGCCATTTAGGGTGTGAACCAATGGAAGGAAGACCTTTCTGTTTCTCTCACTGTCTATAACTCTACCTGTCAAATAAAAGAATTGAAAGGCAGAGGGACAGAGTGATACTCCGCTCCTCAGTCACTCCCTAAATGGCTGCAATGACTGGGGCTGAGGCAGGCCAAAGCCAGGAGCCTGGAACTCCATCTGAGACTCCATTGTGAGTGGCAGGGCCAAGGTCCATGGGCCATCTGCTGCAGCTTTCTCAGGTGCAGTAGCAGGGAGCTGAAACCCACTGTGCCACAATACTGGCGCTAGGTTGATCCATTTTAAAATCTTGGAATTTCTTTTGACAGTTTCTTTTTTCCTGGGCTGCTGTTGTGGTGTGGCAGGTTGAGCTGCTGCTTGCTGTGTTGGTATTGCATATGAACACCAACTCAATCCCAGCTACTCTGCTTCCTGTCCAGCTCCCTGATGATGTGTCTGGGAAGACAGTGGATCATGGCTGTGGTACTTAGGTGCCTGCCACCTTCTTGAGAGCCCAGATGGAGTTCCAGGCTCCTGGCTCCAGCTTCACCCAGTCCCTGCCATTGTGGCCATTCGAGGTGTGAACCAGTGGATGGAAGCTCGCTCTTCTTTCTCTCATTCTGCCTTTCAAATAAATACAAAAATAAATCAATAAAATTTTGTAGCCTAGTATTAGAAGTAATTGTAGGGAGAACAATAATACAGAAAGGATAAAGAGAAGGAATTCTATTATGCCTCTGAAATAGTTCAGTCTACTTTAATGAACTTAAATTTTTTGTTTTTAAGATTTATTTATTTGAAATACAGGGTTACAGAGAGAGAAAGAGGAAATCTTCCATTTGTTGGTTCACTTTCAAGATGACCTCAAGGACCAGGGCTGGCCAGACTAAGCTAGGAGCCAGGAGCAACATTATTTCACTGTTGATTTCAGAAACATCATTATGGCCATTTAAAATTTTTTTGAAAGGCGTGGAGTTTTCTTGTCGATTATTTGTGAAGCAGAGTGTCACAGAGAACTCCTATCTGCTGGTTTACTCCCCAAATGCCCACAGTGTGGGGACTGGGTCTGGCCAATCCAGGGAGCTAGGAACTCAGTCCAGGTCTCCAAATACTTTGAGCCATCACTACTTCCTCTCAGAGTATGCATTAGCAGGAAACTAGTTGGGAGCAGAGCTGGGAATTGAACTCAGGTACTCTGATATGGGATTCAGGCATCTTAACTACTCACTTATGGTAATTTTAAATGCCCAGCTTCAGTTGAAGTAATTTTAAATAAGTAAAAATTAAAAGTTCACCCACAGTTCTTTTGTCTTGGAAATTGGCTCTGTAAATCCATAACTAACTCAGCCTGCTTAAAATTTTACTAAAGTTATTACTGTGTATTTTAGTTATGAGAAGACTTTGTATTTAAAAACTGGAGAAGTTATAAAAACATAAGTTACTATTTTAGAAGTAAAATTTTTAAATGATTAGAAAGCTTGTTTATAGATTCTCATATTTATTTTTGGAACAAGTTAACTGTTTAAAATTTTTTTGTTTTCTTAGCTCTAAAAGGGAGACAGGAAGAGGTGGTCAGCAAGGCAGATACACAACCAAATTCAGTTATTTAGGGTTAATTTGCACCCATCAAAATGAGTGATTCTGATTAACTTAATATAGCCATGCAACTGAATAGGTTAATTGTAGTCGTATGGAAAGATTTTTTAGTTAATGTTGCCAAGTTGATTAAAAAAAAAAAAAAAAAAAAAACCCAAACAGAACAAGATATGGAACGCTGTATGGGAAAAGGAAAATAATACATTGTTATTTGCTTATGTCTGTACAAAAATCCTGGATCTACAAGAAATTAAAAACAGTGATAGTGGTCATGGGAAGGGAGGACAGTGGGGATGCAGGGTTGTGTATGGGACCTCTCAACATACCTTTGGTCATAGTTGCTTTCTGAACTGCTTGAATTTAAAATTTATTTAAAACCAAAACAATATATTTTAAAAGGAGGGGAAAAAAGGTACTATTCTTAGCCTTTGGCTTTTAAAAGTTGTATTTGTGTTACATATTTAATACATTTACATTTTCTGGATTACTTGTGAAACATTAAAATGGAGATGACTGGGGCAGGTGTTGTGGTGCAGTTAAACTGCTGCTTGGAATGCCTACGTCCCCTAACAGACTGCTGGTTACTCCGCTTCTGATACAGCTCCCTGCTAAATTCACCTGGGAAGCAAAGGGTGGCTCAAATATTCAGTTTCCCATGTAGGAGACCCTGATGGAGTTCTTGGCTTTTGGCTTTGACCTGACCCAGAATTGGCTGTTGTGGCCATTTGAGGGGTGAACCAGTGGGTGGAAAATACATTACTCTGTCTCTCCCTCTCTCTGTTAACAGGCCTTCAAATAAATAAGCAAATCTTCAAAAATTATTACTAAACATTGTCATTTTTATTTTAGACTTTCTACCTTCCTCAAGCAATGCTTATAATAATTATACTTACAAGAGTGACTGGATAGCGATGAAAGCTACCTCCAAAGGCTTTGGTGAAAATATCAGCAGTTTAAGAAAGAGTATAAGGGGTCTTCAGAAAGTTCTAGGAAAATGCATGTTGTGATAAAAGTATGAGTGGATCTCAAAATTTTTTGTATCAAAATGAACTTATCTTTTTATCACTTTCCATAAATTGAAGTAATCTTATATATGGGTTTATGTTGTAAATGATAACAGTGTATTGGCAACTAATAAGCAGCTCAAAACATACATGGTTTCTTTAACTTCTTGACATACCTGGAACAAAGTAAACCCTCTTAATAGTCATTTTTCTCAAATTTATTGTGATGTTCTTTCAAAGTACAGTAGAGCATTAGTAATTTTTTTGTGTGTTAAAGACTAAATCTAATTGTGCTGGGTTAGGGATAATAAGGCATGCAGAAAGAAACATACCACTAGAATATTCTCCTTTTCTGAGACTTTATTTTTGAAATTAAAATATAAGTTTATATCAAGCAAATACTGTAAATATGCCCTGTAAAAAGCAAGTGAAAATGGTAGAAAAAGCAAAGAAAAGTAAAAGAATAGTCTGTTACACTTTTCTGGAGCCCTTCTTAAAATTTCATCTCTTATCTCATGGGTTTTAAATAAATTTTTTTTTAAGATTTTATTTGAGAGCTAGAGTTACAGACAGTGAGAGGGAGAGACAGAGAGAAAGGTCTTCCTTCCTTTGGTTCACTCCCCAGTGGCCGCAACGGCTGGAGCTGTGCTGATCTGAAACCAGGAACCAGGTGCTTCTTCCGGGTCTCCCATGTGGGTGCAGGGGCCCAACGACTTGGGCCATCTTCTACTGCTTTCTCAGGCCACAACAGATAGCTGGAGAGGAAGAGGAGCAGCTGGGACTAAAACTGGCGCCCATATGGGTTGCTGACGCTGCAGGCAGAGGATTAACTTACTGTGCCACACCGCTGGCCCTCAAATAAATGTTTAAAAAAGGGGGGTGGGCAGTGTTGTGGCATAGTGGGTTAAACTACTGCTTGCAACACTGGTATCTTGTATCAGAGTTCCGGTTGGAGTCCCATCTGCTCCACTTCTGATCCAGCTCACTGCTCTTGGGAAAGCAGTGGAAGATGGCCCGAGTGCTTGGTCCCCTGCCACACAATTTGGGAGACCCAGATGGAATTCCTGGCTTCTGGCTTTAGTTTGGCCCAGCCCTGGCCATTGCAGCTGTTTGGGGAGTGAACCAGTGGATGGAAATCTGTCTTTCATTCTCTTTGTCACTCTGCCTTTAACATAAATAAATGAATTTTTTAAAGTAAAATTTCATTGCAGGAAAGGGGCATCTTAAAGTAAATAGCATGATTTTTAAGTATATGTTTTAAAATTATGGTTCATGTATTTTTGTTATATTTCCTTCGTTTCAAAAGGCCTTTGTGAAATATTTGTGTGTTTAGGATTTGGAACTCTTCTGGAACCTTGAATTTCCAGGTCAGAATAAAATTATTTGTTTGCTTTATTATATGGTTAAAATCCCTTGAATTGAATCCTCTAGTACCTTTAAGCATATCACTTTGATCAGTTAATCATGACCTTTTAATATAGAGCAGCTTCTCGTTCATGCTCTGGAACTCTGAGATAGGCTAGGCAGTGAACCTCAGTTTGAGCTAACAATAGATACATTTTACAAGTAAAATGTAGGCTGATGATGGAGTGTGGAAACAATGTGAGGTGTAGGGATTCTTTTTACAGTTTACCTGAATTTTGATTTGAAAATGAACCATTTAATTGGGAGAATTGATCTGAGACTTTCATTGAGGGGCGGCTCCCTTAGGTTGGCAAGCAGGTACAGTTTCTAGGTAATTAAATCCATTGTGTTAAACCTGAAGAGTTCTGATATCTTGTTACAGCAACCTTTGGGCTTTGCAAAGGGTGCTTTATTCATGCTAGCTGAGAGCTAAGAAATAGAAATTATGAAGAAAAGACCCCCAGACCTTTAAGAATTCAGCAAATTTACCAGTAAGGTAAGGAATTGAAGTTGAGTCTTTAGGTTGGTATGTATGATATATATCCTGGAGCTCTAGCGTTCTACTAAATAATGATATTTTCATGCCTTAATACTATAAAATTAGAAATTGTGTCAGCAGTTGATACTAAATCTTCATAGACATAAGGAATTGCTTTGAACCGTAAAACAGTCTAGCTAGAAAGAGACAGTGCCTTCCTCTCCTAACCAGTTCTTCTTAGGACATTTAATTTTAAAATGTGTTTATCAAAAATACTTACTTTGTATTTATTTTGAGGAATAGATAAAAATAACTTTAACATATTTATGTGATGTGATAAATGTTCTTGTGGTTTATCAAAAATGAAAGGCTGTTTTAAAATATTTGCAATAGCATGACTTGTTATGGTAAGATAAATTTCAGTGTGAGGAATTATTTTAATTAAAATGTTAGGATTTGGTTGTAGTAATAATGCATCCCACATAATAATACCTTTTATGGCCTTTTTATATAAAAATAAATCACAATTGTAGTAGTTTCTTGGTATTCTGAATCTAAACTGCAAGTCTAATAAAATAATCTTGACCTATTTTTCCATATTAAAATGTAACAAACTTTCCTGTAACTCTTTTTTTATCAGCCAATATAATTTGCACATATAATCAGAAAGCCTTAGTTCAGTATTCTTTCATTGTAGATTTTTCTTTAAGAAAAATCCTTTGTTAACACAGACCTAACTGATGAAATGAAATTTCTCAGAGAAAATGAAATTAGCAAATAACCAGTAAACATCCAATGCTTATGGTTTACCCTAAGATCTGAGTATCTGTACATCAGCTTCCTGTAAAATGTAATGAATTTTCCTTTCAGGCACAGATGGTAAGGATGCTTTTCAAATAGCACAGGACAGTCTTCATATTTTCATAATAAAATCCCTGCAGGCAGTGAAATGAATACATTTCCTTTTTTTGATCTTTAGTATGAACAAAGGTTTCTGCTTGATTGTCAAGGCAAAATATTTCCCTGTTACATCATGAGAACATGTACTACTAAATAAAAAAGATTATTTAAACCTACCTCTTGTCTGAGAGAATGCTGTTGAAGCGATGGTATCGTCTGTTTGTAATGCAGTCTAGTGCACAGCCAAGATGGAGCTGAGCTTCTATTGGTTGAACCACAATGCAGCTGACAGTTTCCTTTATGCTCATTTGCATTAAGTCCTGCCACTCTTAAGAGTAAATCATTCATAAACTTGAATAGAGCTGTCTGGATGTTAGCCGTCAGCCTTTTTCCTTTACTTTTTGTGCTTAAGTTAAATTCCTGTATGGGAATTTGTGAGTTAATAGCAAATTGATGATTTCTTACCATTTAACCATAAATCTTGGATCTTACAGTGAGTGTTTCAAGTGCTAGGGTTAGAAGATAATGTCGGGGGAGGTAACCTAGGAAACAGACTAGGTTTACCGGCTTGATATTTCTTACAGGAAGTGTGCATAAAAATCTCATAATGGATTGTTCTTTACTTTTCTTGCCTGCCTTATAGAAATCTTGGTCATTTGATTTATGGGAAATTCTGAAGGAAAAGAAATAAGGTTTTCAGCTCTGTCAGAGGGTTAATCTAGGTATATATACTACTTACATGTTTAAAAAAATTGGAAATTTTAAAAAAATATTTGAAAGACAAAGTGACAGAGATCTTTCATCCACTGGTTCATTCCCCAAATGCCTGCAACAGTCCCTCCAGGGCCAGGCCTATCCTGGGAGCTTAGAACTCCATCTGGGTGTCCCACATACATGTTACAGGGCCCAACAGCTGGAGTCAGCAACTGGACCCAGGAATTGAACCCAGGCACCTTGTTGTGGATATAGGTGTCTTAAGTGCTAGGCTAAATGCCCCCTCCTGTAGACTTGTTTGGTAAAATTATAGATAAATCAGTGTATTAGTTTCTGGGGGTAAAAAAAGGGGTGTGTGAAGTATCCTTATTACATACATTCATTCAACACAATTATTGAAGGTTTACTGCACTTGGTATTGAGTTTAGTACTGGAGACTCCATGACAGGCAAAAACTTATGTGGTTCATAATTGGCCATTTTTGTGGTGTTTGTCCTTAATATGCTGCAATCTCTTCTTCATAGTTTTGTCAGTTTTTCATACATGTAGTATAGGAAAAGCTTACTGTTATTTTCTAAAATTAAAAAAAATACTTATTTGAAAGAGAAAGAGACAAAGATCTCTCATCTGCTGGTTCTCTCCCCAAATGCCTACAATATCCAGGGAAGGACTAGGCCAAAATCAGGAGCCATGAACTCAGTCTGGGTCTCTTTTGTGGGTGGCAGGACCAAACAAAACCATTTGTGCCATCACTTGCTTCCTTCCAGGGTCTTTGATGTGGAAGCTGGAATAGGGAGTGGAGTCAGGACTCAAACTCAGCTCTGATACAGGATGCAGTATTTTTTTAAATGTTTTTTTTTTAAAGATTTATTTTATTTATTTGAAAGAGATAGAGAGGTAGAGACAGAGTGAGAGGTCTTCCATCCTCTGGTTCACTCCCCAGTTGGCCGCAATGGCCAGAGCTGCTGTCTGTCTATCTGAAGCCAGGAGACAGGAGCTTCTTCCAGGTCTCCCACATGGGTTCAGGGGCCCAAGGACTTGGGCCGTCTTCTACTTCTATCCCAGACCATAGCAGAGAGCTGGATCAGAAGAGGAGCAGCCTGTACTAGAATTGGTGCCCATATGGGATGCTGGTGCTTCAGGCCAGGGCTTTAACCCGCTGCATCACAGCGCCGGCCGGCCCCTCACCAAGTAATTTTTTTTTTTTTTTTGGCAGAGTGGACAGTGAGAGAGACACAGAGAGAAAGGTCTTCCTTTTCTGTTGGTTCACCCCCGCAATGGCCGCTGCGGCTGGCACACTGCGCTGATCCGAAGCCAGGAGCCAGGTGCTTCCTCCTGGTCTCCCATGCGGGTACAGGGCGCAAGGACTTGGGCCATCTTCCACTGCCTTCCTGGGCCACAGCAGAGAGCTGGACTGGAAGAGGAGTGACCGGGACAGAATCCGGTGCCCCAACCGGGACTAGAACCCTGTGTGCCTGCGCCGCAGGCGGAGGGTTAGCCTATTGAGCCGCGGGGCTGGCCCACCAAGTAATTTTTAAGAGAAAATTATGTTAAGATCTATTTTAGTCTCAAAAAAGTGTGCTCAAAAAAGACTTTCCACTAATCTCAAAAGACTATCATGTTGCCATCTAGAAAATGTTCTTTTGGATCTCTGACAGCTGGTGCATTTGACTTGCGGTTGTTCTAATGCAATCTTTTGTTTAAATTATTATGAACATGGTGCCAGAATTTGGCTCACCCCTTCCCCTTTAATTTAACCTATCTCTTGTGGATCAGCCACATGGGAACTTTATAATATCTGATTTGTTGCCTTGGTGATAGTTTGTATACTTTTGAAATGTTTTTATGGTATTTATGATGAATTTTTTACTGCTTTTGCCTATGGCCCTGAATGTATTCATGATGTAACAATGGTATTAGGATTTGTGTCTATGAATATGCAAGAAAATGAGAGATATACTGAAATAAATGATATTCTCTACAGATTTCTCCAGATTTCGCCATAGAAGGGAGGTTTTCTCAAAATGAGTGGGCAGTGCTGTAATTTTTTTAAGCATCCATATTCTAATTTTTTTGTAAAGTTCACTTTAAAGTAGTTATGTCATTTTTCCCATTCCCATTTACTTGGTTTGGAGTTTGTAAACAGGAATTGAGATAATAGGGGATAAATTTGAAGTTTTTATCACTTAGAAGTAATCTACCCATTTCTCTTATTAATGTCTCTTAGAAAAGTCTGAAGGATTAGATTGAGGTTTATATTGGTCCTTTGTCTAATTATGGGGTATGGGGCAGAGGGGAATCCATTCAGAGTTAATGAGATAAAGCTACTTAAGAGACTTGTATTTTAATCCAATTAAATTATTTATGATTTGTTCTTATTCTTAGGAAATTGGTAGTTTAATATACTCAAAATTTAAAAAATTTATTTGAAAGACTCAGTTACAGAGAAAGAGAGAGAGCTCTTTCCATCTGCTGATTCACTCCCAAAATGGCTGCAATAGCCAGGACTAGGCCAGACTGAAGTCAGGAACTAGAATGCTATCTGGATCTCCCAGGTGGATGGTAGGGACCCAGGCACTTGGGCCATCTTTGCTTTCCCAGGCTCGTTAGCTGGCTGGGAAGTGGAACAGCTGGTACTCAAACCAGTGCTCATAAAGGGTGTTGGAGTTGTAGGCAGTGGCTTAATCTATGCCACGCCACCACCCCCATTCCCAGATTTTATAGAATAGAATTTATTCAGTGAAAAAGTCAAATAAGCATTTTACCAGAGTTAAAGTCATCTTAGCTGCTTAAGAGTCATAATCATATTTGATAAATTCTTAAAGTTGCTTTTTAAACTTCATTTTCAGATCATAGCAATGGATCATTTAACTTGAAAGCTCTATCTGGAAGCTCTGGATATAAGTTTGGTGTTCTTGCTAAGATTGTCAATTACATGAAGGTAAGTACCTTGCTTAGATAACAAAAATCCTTTCTACCTTTTGGACTGAAGAAGAGTATTGGGATTTGTGTACACATATCAAAATTTATCAAACTGAACATTTTACACATGTGCAGATAGTGGTACATCAATTCTGTCAATAAAACAAAAATATGTAGTTCTTTAAATCTTTTATATTACTGCAGCAAGTCACCTACGTATATTTAATTTACATGAATTCAGGTACACGAGTACACTTACAAAGAATATGCCAGGCAGTAGATAGTTTACCTCCTTCCTTTTTTTTAGTTCTTTTCTAAAGATTTATTTGTTTGAAAGGCAGAGTTATAGAAGAGGTAGAGGCAGAGAGAGAGAGAGAGAGAGAGAGGTCTTCCATCCGCTGGTGCACTCCCCAAATGGCCGCAATGGCCAGAGCTGCACCAGTCTGAAGCCGAGAGCCAGGAGCTTTTTCCAAGTCTCATGCGGGTGCAAGGGCCCAAGCACTTGGGCCATCTTCCACTGCTTCCCAGGTCATAGCAGAGAGCTAGATCAGAAGTGGAGCAGCCAGGAATTGAACCGGTGCCTATATGGGATGTTGGCACTGCAGGCAACAGTTTTACCTGCTATGCCACAGTGCCAGCCCCGTAAGTTTTTTTATTTATTTGAAAGACAGTGACAGAGAGGGAGAGAAAAAGGTATCTTTCCTCTGGTTGATTCCCCAAATGGTCACAGCAGCCTGCCTGAGCCAGGCTGATCCAGGAGCACTGAACTCCATCCAGGTTTCCAACATGGTTGGCAGCGCCCCAACCATTTGTACTGCTCTCCCAGGTGCATTGCAGGGAGCTGGATGGGAAGTGGAGCTACTGGGACTTGAACTGGCACTCTGTGGGATGCTGGCATTGCAAGTGGTGGCTTAACCACAAGGCTGGCCCTGATATCTCTTAATTCATCAATGTAATAGGAATGATTTTTCAGAGTGTTGTTTCATTAATATGAGAATTAAAAATTACATAGTTTAGGCATTGGTTGTGATGGCTTCTCTGTGACTTGGAGGAGAAAATTAGAATTTCTGAGGGTCTTAGAAAAATATTGACTCAGAAAAGAATTAGTGTTTAGAACCTGATGAAAGATTTAGTAGTTTTTGAACACTGTTTTGATGATGCAAGTTTCTGGCTTTAATATAAACTTCAAATCTTCATTTAATAAATTTAATTCATAGCTAAGATGTGAAAATGAGTTAAAATCCACCCTTTTTTTGGACTGGCATTGTGACACAGAATATTAAGCCTCTGCCTTGCATGCTGGCATCTCATATCAGGGCACCGATTTGAGCGAGTTACAGCTGCTCTGCTTCTGTTCCAACTCCCTGCTAATATGCCTGGGAAAGCAACATAGGATAGCCCAAGTACTTGGGACCCTGCCTCTCCACTTAGGAGACACGAATGGAGCTCCAAGCTCCTGGCTGCAACCAGCAAATGGAAGATCTCTATCTGTCTCTTCTTTTCTCTGTCATTTTGCCTTTCAAATAAAATAAATACAAGAAGCTCAAAAAATTTGCCCCTTTATTCTGTCACTCTTACTTTGCTTATTTGCTAGTTGAAAAGTTCCAAGAAAGTACTATATTTGTTATTATTTTAATTTCAACCTGTTGCTTAAAATATAAATCAGGCTTTAAACTATGGTAAAACTTTTCTTTTGTAATTTAAGAGACTTTGGGTCTATATCTGAATTCTGACATTTGTATGTGATTTCTACCATAAATGTTATTTATAATTTTATTTGGTCAAATATTATACTTACGTATTCACTATTCATTCATTTATTCTTTCTACCCATCCATCCATCCACATGGTAAACAGTTACTAAAATCTATACATGATTTATAGCACTAGTTGGGGGGGATATCCAGAGAAAAAGCATGTCTTCAGGTTGTCATTCTGTTGGGAGACTGTCATTTAAGTGCCAGGTTTTTGCTCCTGTTTAATATAGTCTTCAATTATAAAAAGGACTTACTTATAGCTGTCTAAGAACAATGGTCTTCAAATTTTTTATGAAAGTATCTCCTAAAAAAATGAAAATCTGTATGTTTTTGCACATACTTAGAATAGCTACAATATTTTAGCAGAGTTAAATATTAACATTATTTGAGCAAAGTTAAGCAGTGACCAGACATAAGGAATTTTGGCAAATTGTAATTTTGTACTAAAATACATAATTCCTTCAAGTTTATCTAGTGGAGCTGCTATTATTCATTTAAAGGTTAAAAATAAACTCGGATAATTTTAATTTTTCTGTGAACTTGTATGTCTCTTGTGTTATTGTCTTTGAGTTTTATCTAATGTCATATATTTTTATGCTTAAAACCTTACATTGATAACCCATTAAACTTTTCTGCAGTAATATGTAAATTTAAATTAAAAACGTTGTTTCCTATGACTGTAAGTCTCTAAGTGTTAAAATATCTTCTGGGAGATGAACATGTAGTGAGACATTTAAGATGCTGCTTGGGATACGTGTGTCCCAGATTGGAGTCCTTGGGTTTGAGTCCTGGCTCCACTCCTGATTCCTGCTAATATGCACCCTGGAGTTGCTGGCTCAAGTAGTTGGGACCTTGCCGCCCACATTAGAGATGGACATTTAGTTCTGGGCTGCTGGCTTTGACTTGTATAAGGACTGACTGTTATGGGAATTTGGGGAGTAAACAAGATATGAAGGTTTCTCTCTCTGTGTGAATGTGTGTCTCTCCCTGTCTCTTTCTCTCTATCTCTGCCATTCAAATAAATAAAAATAAGTAAAAAAAAATTTAAATCTTCTGATTTGTTATGAGTACACAGTTGATTAGAATAGTGCACATATCAAAATTTTGAGTTTCTCTCTGTCCAATGTATCCATCCTTTAATGATATGAATGGAGCCTGACTCCTCTGTTATTTCAATAGTTCTTATATCTGGGGATGTGTGTTACTTACTGGTAGAATAAAATAGAATTTAGAACCCACTCAACTTCTTGGTTTCAGGTTTTGTAGGTTAAGTGCGAGAAATAAATGTTCTTATATAAGTAAGTCAATTCTAATGGAAGTTTCATTGTGGCAAAATTTTCTAAATTACATATTAAAAATCACTTAGTTCGTCCTCATTAAGCATTCTTGGTTGATAGTTCTGTTTGGTTTTCAACAAAACTAATAAAGGACCCAAGAATGGAAATCACCTAACTTGCCGAATAATTTGTTACCTAGTCCCTAAGCATTTACTGTTTTAGTTTCTGGGAAGCATATAAAAAAGGCTTTATCAATTGTTGACCAAATATGTAATTATATCAGTTCCCTCCTTTTCCTGAAGTTAATTAAGAAAATAAAATTACTAATTTCAATAGACCTTTAACAGTGCAGTGTTTTGGTAAAGGTGCCTTTATTATGTGTTTAAATATTTTTGTCGAAACATTCAGGATAAAGGTTTAACTTATTCAGGTTCCAGGAAGGATCTCCTGGGGTGGGCATTTATTTGGCCTAGTGGTAAAGACACCTGTATCCCATATTGGAGTGCCTGAGTTTGATACCTGCCTCTGGTTCCTTAATTCTAACTTTGTACTAATGCAGCCTGCAAGACAGCAGCATGGCTCAAGCAGTTAGGTTCCTGCCACTCCTGTGGGAAACCTCAATTGTGTTCCTAGTTCCTCATGTTGGCACTCGGCCTACAACTGGCTGTCATGGCCATTTAGGGAGTAAACCGGTAGATGGGAACTCTGTTTCTGTCTGTCTGCTTCTCAAATAAAGAAATTAAAGCAAAAAATGTATTTTCTGGTAACAGTCAGTCTCCATTTGTCAGACCAACCAGATGTATCAAACTAGCTTTGTATAATAGAATATTTTAAGTTCAAATGAACATGTTAACGCATATTTTAGATAATGCTTAACTCTTAAGAAACTATAAAATACATAACTAAAAGGTATGATTGAAGTAATTGAAGTGAAAATTATGTAGATTTATCCATTTTTACAGTAATTAAAAAATACCTGTTGCTTCTGTTGTATTTTATCATTATAACGTTAATGAAGCAAAAGGTGCAGAGGCCCAAGCACTTGGGCCATGCTCTGGTGCTTTCCCAGGCGCATTAGCAGGGATCTGGATCAAAAGTGGAGCCCAAATGAGATGCTGACATTGCAGGCAGAGGCTTGACCTTCTGTCCCACAGCACTGGCCTCAATACCTGTACATTTAATTTTTACTAACTAATGAAAGAGGAGGATACCCACTACTAAAAAGACTTACAGCTAGGAAAGTATTTTAAAGATAGAATCAGAGTTGACTACAAATTTGATTTAATTTGATAAAATGTTTTAACTACCATATTGAATAATGTACCCAATCTAAAATAGTTCAAATACAGTTTTTATCTGTGGGTTTTATGTTGTATAACTTGAAAAATTTGGTGGTCTTGGAAAATATTTGAAGTAATTTGTCACCCTAATTCGTTTTTCTTCAGCATTTTAAATATGGTTTTTCTTCTGGCTAATAAATACTTAAGAAATGAGTTTGAGAATTGAAGAGAATGACTTACATTTAAATTCTTGAGAAAAAAAATCTGTTTTTTAAAGAAGGAATCCAGTTTATAGAAATAGAGAAGTCTTTGACCTGCTGGTTCCTTTTCCAAATGCATATAGAAGCGGGAGCTTGGCCAGGTAGAAGCCAGGACCCTAGAACTAGATACTGGTTTCACATGTGGGACCAAAGTACTTGGACATTGCCTGCTGCGTTCCAGAGTGCACGGACATTAGCAGCAAACCAAAATCAGAAATCTAGCCAGGTCTTGAATCCAGGAACTCTGATACAGAACACAGGCATCACAAGTGATGTTTTAACTAGTGTGTAAAATCCCTACCCCTAAAACTTTTTACACTAGCTATTTTTTTTCTTACTTGATGATATATCTGTTGAATTCTTTTACTTAGTGGAGTGTTTTTTTTTTTTTTTTTAAAGACTTATTTATTTGAAAGAATTACAGAAAGAGGTCTTTCATCCTCTC